TCAGAGATCGGGTGCGACGTCGGGATGTCCGAACCTGGCGGTGGCCCACCAGATGCCCAAGAACACTATCAGCAGCGCGTCGGTTGTGAGGACCAGGGCCGGCACGAGCTTCAGGAAACACGGCACATGCATCCAGCTGAGCTGCACTGCCACCCGCAGAGCCTTGAGGAGCACTGGTGTCACGGCGGCGACGCCCAGCAGCCTCACGATCCACAGCGTGGCCCCGATCCAGAGACGGAACAAGATGCTGAACATTGCCAGCAGCATGTACGCAATCACTTTTAGCGGCAACATCTTCGCACTGAGGTCCACCACGACCACCCGCGACGTGAGGAGAGCCACTAGCAGCACGATCGCATGAGCGGTCTTGGAGCTCGTCTGGACAGCCATCGCCGTGCGCAGCAACAACGCGGAGCACATCATCAGCAATAGCAGGAAGCATAACACCAAAGCCTTGACGATCATCGTCATGCCCACGGGGTTCCACACAGGAGACGCGTAGAGCCGACCGCAGACCACGATGATTCACACCTGAGTCCTGTACGGCAGCCTCCACACCAGCGACAGCATCAACTCCAGCACGAACATCAGACCGAGGACGGGCAGGGACCAGAACCTGATCACCGCAACGATCGCCAGCACGGTCCAGCTCCCCATCATGCCCACGAGGACGCAGAGCTCCACCTCCAGGTAAAAGCTCGCCAGGCTGAGGTTCAGCAGCGGCTGCCACAGCACTTCCAGCTGTTTGACGTTCCGCGGCATTAGTACTAACGCGAGCTGAGGCCAGTAGACAATCGGTAGCAACACCACGGACGGACTGAGCATCACGAACAGGTTGATTGAACGGCCATTCCCGCTCAGCACGCTCCTCAAACCTGCAAAACTCGCACTCGAAGTCAAGGTCGTATAGAAACTCGCCAGGTGAGTTCCACTGTATTGGCTCCTGCAGCACAGACTCCTGCTCAGGCATGCCCACGGAACAGGGATAGTAGACGACGGGATTCGCCATGACGTGGCAAAGCGAGTTCAGCGAGTGCAGAAGCTGAGCAAAGAACGGGATGAGGGAATCGGTCGAGCTCGGCCCGACCTCCGTCTGCGTGGAGGAGTCGCAGACGAGCGCCGTCTGGTCGGCGAAAGTCGTTCCGGTTGAAGGGAGCGCCGCAGGAGCGGCGAGCAGAGAGCCAGGCAGAGGAGAGCCCTCGAGCAGGGGCACCGTGGAGTCGGCGGGGAGGTCATCGTCGCTGTCCTCGATATCATCCCATGCCGTGCGCACGGGTTGCACACCCAGTTGAAGAGATGACGAGTTGTGCTTGGCTGCGTTGGCCAGTTTCCATACACGCGAGTCGGCACGCAGCTACTCGATGTCAATGTGCCCAGCGCGGCAGGCAGCGATGGAGGCATCCCTCGCCGAGTGCGACGGAACACCCACCTGAGCGTCCCTCCGGCAGTGAAGTACCTTGGCTGCGATCATCTTCTTCGCGTCAGACTTGAAAGCTTTGTCAACCTTCACGAAAGCAGAGCCGACAACCTCCGATGGGCGGAAGAAGCCACATGCGACGGCACGCGCACGACGTCGGCCAGCTGCCAGTAGTGACCGTTGACGCCAGCCAGTGCCCCTGCTGCGGGAAGTGCTCATAGCAGCGGAGCCCCGCATGACGACGCAGACCCACAGAACGCCGAGGACGGCGAAACGCCGATACCGGCGAGCGAAGCCATGCCACCCAAGAATCTCTGCTGACAGAAACGGCGCGGGGCGCGCGGGCGCGGGTGCGGCTTGAGCCAAAATGGCTACGGACAGCGGGAGGAGGAGGAGGAGGAGGAGGAGGAGGAGGAGGAGGAGCCAAGGAGCGAGCAGGAACGCAGGAACGCAGGAGCGCAGGAGCGAAGGAGCGAAGGAGCAAGGGAGAGAAGGAGGAGGAGGAGGAGGAGAAGGAGGAAGGCAACTATCCACCTCGTCGGACCTGGCCGGGCCCACCCTGGGCCCGGTATCGGGGTTCACTCCCCTCTGGCTTGGCCCAGGAGTACACCATCATGGGCCCAGGAAGGGTCCTCCTCCTCCTCCTCCTCCTCCTCCTCCTCCTCCTCCTCCCTCTCCTCCTCCTCCTCCTCCTCCTCCTCCTCCTCCTCCTCCTCCTCCTCTCCTCCTTCTCCTCCTCCTCGTCCTCGTCCTCCTCCTCCTCCCACGTGCCTCCCCTCCCCCTCCTCCTCCTCCTCCTCCTCCTCCTCCTCCTCCTCCTCCTCTCCTGCTCCTCCTCCGCATCCTCCTCCTTCTCTTCCCTCCTCCTCTCCTCCTCATCCTCCTCCTCATCCTCCCCCTCCCACGTGTCTCTCCCTCCTCCTCTTCCTCCTCCTCCTCCTCCTCCTCGTCCTCCTCCTCCTCTTCTTCCTCCTCCTCTCCTTCCTCCTTCTCCTCCTCCTCATCTTTCTCCTGCTCCTTCCGTGAGGTGGATAGCTGACGCCCCTCGGGAACGCGGGCACCCTCAAGGAGGCGGGCGGGCGGGGCCCTTCAGGAACTGGCGTCGGCACTGGCAGCTCCCTCGCAGATGCCTCGCGGGCACGCTTGCCATGGCGCTCCGTCTATGGGCTCGAAGGGGAGAGGGAAGAGAGAGGGGAAGCAGGACATCAAAGGGCGGGGACGGAGAGAGAGAGAGAGAGAGAGAGAGTCAGAGAAAGAGAGAGAGAGAGAGAGATCTAGATACATTATATATATATATATATATATGTATAGAAAAAGAGATGGAGATAATTGAGATGGAAATCGAGATTGAGAGGGAGGTGAAAGAAAGGTGCCAGGGGGAGCAGGAGGGGAATATTGACGAAAGGGGGGGCGGGAGGGAAAAGTGGGAAAGGGGGACGGCAGAAGGAGAGAGAGAGAGAGAGAGAGACCTAGAAACAGAGATGGGGAGGGATATGCAGGGGGAGGTGAGGGGAAGATGAAGGGAAGAGTAGATCGACGAAGGGAGCGAGAAATACAGAGAAATAATACACATAACTCCGCCGACCCTGCCGGCGTGTAGAAGACGCTGATCCGTTTGTCGTCGTCGTCGTCGTCGTCCTCGTCGTCGTCGTCTTCTTCGTCGTCGTCGCTTCCCTTTGATCCCTTCCCCGCGGGGGGGGGGTCCCGGGGAGGGAGGGCGGGGCGGACGGTGTTGAGAGGGCCTCGGGTCAGAATACCATCGCTTCCGGGGGGTCCAGGGGCCTACACAGGCCCCAAGAAGGGCCAAGAGTGCCCCAAGAAGCCCCCAAAACGGTCCAAGAGGGCCCCGAATCGCCGAACGACCAAGGCAAGACACCAAAAATGGCTTCCAGGCGGGACGCCAAACGCTGATTCCCCTATAATGTGTTTGAAAGATTTTCCGAGTTTTTCCCTACCTAGGCTCTGCCTAGAAGGGTTCTTACTCGGAGGCTTAAAGGGCCGGGCAGTGGAACGCGCCCCAGGCGGTTCCCCCGGCATCCGCCCCGCGGTTCCCCCAGTGACATTCCCTTAGCTTAGCGTTACGCCGTTGCTTATCTCATATTAGCTTAGCCTGGCTTAACTTAGCTTAGCTTGGCTTAGCTTAGCTTAGCTTAGCCCAGCCTAGCTTAGCTTAGCTTAGCCTAGCCTAGCCTAGCCTAGCCTAGCTTAGCTTAGCTCAGCTTAGCTTAGCCTAGCCTAGCCTAGCCTAGCCTAGCTTAGCTTAGCTTAGCTTAGCTTAGCTCATCTTAGCTTAGCGCAGGATTAGCACAGCGTAGAACAGCATTGCATAGCATAACCTAACGCAGCATAGCATATCATAACATAACATAGCATAGCATAGCATATCATGACATAGCTTAACCTGGCATAGCACAGCTCAGCATATCATAGTATAACATAGCAAAGCATAGCGCCGCACATCATAGCATAACATAGCATAGCATAGCATAGCGCAGCATATCATAGCACTGCATAGCAGATCATAGCGTAGCCTAGCCTAGCCTAGCCTAGCATAGCGCAGCATCTCATAGCATAGCATCGCATAGCGCAGCATAGCATAACATATCATAGCCTAGCATACCATCGCGCCGCCTATCATACCCTAGCATCGCAAATCATAGCAAATTATAGCATAGCGCAGCATAGCGCAGCATCGCATAGCAAAAGCAAATCAAACGCAACAGCCAAATCAAACGCAAAAGCAAAGGCAAGGCAATGCAAATCAAAAGCAACACCAATGCGAACGTGTATATGTAGACGTATATGTAGATGTAGATGTTGATGTAGGTGTAGGTATAGGTGTAGAGCTAGGTGTAGATGTAGGTGTAGATGTAGATGTATATGTATATGTGAGTCTCGCTGTTGATGTTTATGTAGAGGTAGATACAGGTGTAGATGTTAATGCAGCTGTCGGTGTAGATGTAGATAATGCTTCCCTAGATGCTCCAACTCCTAGGTAGGGCCGCACTGGGATAATAGTTGTTTTGGCTTCCCGACGATCCAAACCGGCCCAGGACGCCCCGAAGATCGCCCCAAGACGGCCCAAGAGGCCTTCAAGAGGGCCTCCAAACGACCCAAGAGGGCCCCAAGATGGCCGAAGAGGCCTCCAAACCGTCCCAAAGGGCGCCCAAGACGGCTCCAAGAGAGATACCCAGGAAGCTACAAGAGGCCCCCAAGAGGTTCCCAAGAGGCCCCCAAAATGCTCCCAAGAGGCCCCCAAGATGCTCCTAAGAGGCCCCAAAACTGCCCCTCAGAGGCCCCTGAGAGCGCCCCGAAAAGACCCCAAGAAGCACTCCCGAGGACTCTGACCCACGTCAGCGTTGTCGTCGCCGCCGCCATCGTCGTCCGTCCCCCAGCAGGGTCGGCAGCACCGGCTGTAAGGCCTACGCAAATTGAGCAAGAAATAGAGAGCGAAGAAAGAAAGGGATATGGAAGGCAGCACAACGAGGAAAGGAGGGCAAGAGGGGTAGGAACACCGGTAAAGGAAGAGAGCGAGAGGAGCAAACGCGTCCCTCGGGGAAGTCTGAGCACCCAGACAATGGAAGCTACGAGGGAAGGGGATGAAGACGCAGGGCGCATGGATGCCCCTCGGTCCAAAAGCGATCCTGGAAAGCGTTCGCGAACGTAAACGTGCAGCCGCGTGCTGGCTGCCGTCGTCGGGAACCGCCAGGGGTGCCGCCAGTGCACGAAGAGGCGGGGGGGGGGGGGGGCAGGAGGCCGGGGAGCTGAAGGCAACAGCAGAGGGCGAAGCATGGACTGCGAGAAGTGGAATGATCGTGCAAATGTCGTCCCAGGCTGTGCGCACCAGCATGCAGGACCGAGGCCGACAACACGGGCCGAGCCATCCCCATCGTGCTCGCCCGATCTCCCCCTCCACCTCCTGGCGCCGACACTGCAACCATGTGGATCCACATGGGATGGCACCATCCACCCCCCGCAGGGTCATTGCCCCTGGGAGGGAGGGTGATCAAACTCCTCCCACTACTTCCACGGAGGAGCAAGCATGAAACCTGCAGAAACATTGCAATGCGTTGGCCACGGGTTCCGTGATCGCCTGGCGACATAAAGACATGAAGATACGTCCTCCCCCAAGCCCGACCTGCAGACCTGAACGCTTGAAGATCTGAAGGCCTGTCGAAATGGTGATCTGAAGATCAGCTGGTCTGTCCGACGACCTGAAGACATGAAGACCTGACGACCAGCAGCCCTGGCCAACGACATAAAGACGTGAAGACACGACGTCCAGCAACCCTGGCAGACGACATGAAGACCTGAAGACCTGAAGACATGCTGTCCTGCCCGACGACCTGAAGACGTGAATGCATGGAGATATGCTGCCCTGGCCGACGATCCGAGGACAGGATGACAT